CATTAGCTATAACAAAAAGAACTATAAACGCACTCTAAGTGCGATTTCTAAACAATAACAGTGTAAGTTTGGTGTGGAAAGGCAATACCACATGGCTATACAAAGAAGAAGTGACACATGGCCAGTTCCCTGCATACTACATGATGTGGTTCCACACTACAACTGCTTTACTAGCCAGAAGGCTCTACTGGTAGCCTCTGATGCAGGAAGTAATAGGTTTCTTTTCCACAACCAGGATATACCAAACACCACATAAAAAATGAAGCAGTTGTTTCTTGGCAAAGCACTTGGGTATATAAAGGATAAAGCAGGGGGAGGGGGGTAGACTTATAGTTTAGCTGTGGTCTTGCTGTGATGATATTACTAGTACTCATGATCAGTAACAAATAGATGATAATTTTTCAAACACTAAATATTATATATGCAGCTGCTTTGTTTGTGAGCTCCAAAGGGAGGTGAGATTGTATCACGATTGAACATATATATCCATATATAAATAACCAGGCATAATTTGTAAAGCCAACTGAAACCATTTATCGATAAGGTTACAAACACATCCTTTAACATTAAAAAATACATTTAAGAGCAATCCAACCTGACCATTAAATTTATTTATCTACTTTCTAGCAAATATTTACCTTGAACCGTTTTGCCGAGATAATCTCCCCTTCTTTCTTTATTGATCACATACTGATAAATCTTTCCTGTTGTGATGTTGTTGTCTCTGTGTAATTTGATGTCTAGAAACCTCTCATAGTTTCCTAAATCCAAGTCAACTTCTCCACCGTCATCCAATACAAATACCTCGCCTATAACAGCAATGAAATTTAGAATGACTGTGATATTATTTACATATTGAAACATAAAACAGCAGCACACTCACCTGCGTGATGCTTTTTTTTATGATGATGACATACACATGCACATACATATGCCTCCACACACACATAAGACTTGTAGAACTTTTACACACTTTTATAATCAGCGTAAATCTGAAATCTGTTCATGAATTACTACAAAAGTACAGAATTTGATGGAAAATAAATCTCTAAAAGCTAATCAGTTACATGGTGTTTGTACAGTTCATGAAGCAAAATAAAGTGACTGGCAGAATCATTAACATGAAAAATGTGAGACACCAGGTAAGCGAAGAAAGCATCTGGTATTATATAACTTCTACTCTAGATTTACCAGATCGTGCAGACTCAGACATTCAGCAATCTCCTTACCGTGTTCATATGGGGAGAATGTCCCAGCATCAATGTTAATGTATGGGTCTATCTTTATAGATGTCACACGCAGTCCGCATGCTTTGAGTATGGTCCCCACACTGCTGGAGATGACCCCCTTCCCAATGCCACTGATCACACCTCCGGTAACCAGTATATACTTCATATTACTGTTACCAACAAACTGACTGAAATATCTTGAAAACCTACAGTGGTAGAAAAGAGGTTCAGTCTTACTGCTTTAAGCTGTGCAAACAATGACGACGTCAACACTATAAACCCTGTATATTTATATTATATTTACTAGGGTTTTCTGCTATTAGATGCCATTTATTAGCTACAAATATGCTCTCCTACTTGAAATAATCAAAGCTCATTAAAATCACCTAAATACAAACATTGCAAAAATGTCATTTTCAGCATACATCACATAAAAACATTCCACTAGGCTTTGCAGCCAATCTCACCAAAGCCTCTTATTTCACTTATGTTATTAATAGATCACATATGATAGGCCAAATATATAGTAGCTGGTGATATATTCATAGTGCTTATATACAGATATTCGCTTTTTAAAAAATTTGCTCCAACAATGCAATGCCATGCAGAGGAGTAAGCTTACCATTTCACTCACATCTCACAGTACTACTCACTGTAATATTGTGGATTTATGGTTAAATCTAAGTTGAAGTGTCAGATAGTATCATACACATGTAACCAAGAGTGATATACAAGTTACAAGGGGAGATAATTATCTGAAGGAACCAGCCTCTACTAATGCAATGTACCAAAACTCAAGAAAAGAGAAAACGAAAACAGTGTAAATTACACTAATATATATCTAAGATGTAGACAAGTCTTATACAGTTCTTCAGTTTCTTTCCTGAATGTTTTAAAGGAGTTTAAATCCTATTACACTGTCTATTTTAACGTGTTCTTCACCTGTTCATAAAAGCAGCGTGGTCTTCACGTGTATTTTTTGTATGCAAATGCCTGACCCGAAATTGACCTAGTTTATGAAGAGTTAGTAATGTACTGATAATAGTAACAGATTATTTTCAGATGGCATTAACACTTATTAAAAAATCAAGAAAAAGAAACCTAATCGTTTGGGAAAAACAGAGAGGCTCTTTTTAGAGCCACTCACTTTAAAATGATATATTTACCTTAATTTTCAGTCATCTTTTCGGTGCAAAACAGTCTGTCGCGCTACTAATTTAATTCGTGGGAATTGTGGGTAGTTGAAATATTGACCTGTTATCAAGCTGTGCAAATTAGAATGGGAAAACAAAAATATTTAGTACATTTTGTATTTTAGAATTAAAACAATTTACATTTTTTGGAGTTGAAATAATTTGATTTCGAATAATCGTTGGAAGGTCACACTTCCCGTTGCTGGCGAGAAAACAATGACCTTGATTTCCCGCGAAATTCAATATGGAGGAGAACGACCAAAACGTCCTCCATAAAGATGCCTCGCCTGTCTATCAAACAGACGTTAACGGAGACACAGGAGGTTCTAATACCATTAGAAAAGGATTATTACCAGAGAAGAAAGTTGTTTATGTTTGTAGTGCAGATTTTCTCAGTGAATGCGACAGAATTGCCAAGGTGCCATTTAGGGTAATTATTAATGAGCTCCCCCCCTCCCCAAACACACACTTAAGGTACCTGTACACATTTGCTGATTTCAGAAAACATGGAAATGCACCTTGGTGATCAAAATAAATGTTCAATCTAATGGAAAATGCATAGGTTGATCAATGAACGCAAGCATACCTTTTAATTTTCAATTAAATCTTATTTCACATGTGAAAGAAAATATAGTTTGACGTTGCCCTCGTTTTTATGTAAATATGTTATATAATTACTTGTTTGCCTTACTCTCATCAAGTCTCAGTGACTCATCAAGTCTCATCAAGTCTCACTCAACATATGACCTTTTTTTTTCAATGACATTTTAGGCGAGTATCACACATGCTTTGATTGAGGCCTACGGACTGCTTTCAAGGATGAGGTAATTAAAAAGATAAATGTGTGTGTGTGGGCGTGCGCAGTCACACACACATACACACACAAACACACACACACAGTCATGGTGCAGGAATCACCAATATGAACAATACTCACTCGATCATTACAATTAATATGTAAATCAATAATTTGTCATCTACTTAATTGTGTCATACTTCATTGGTAATGAGGTAGATTATATTTATGGTCATTTACTGGATGTTTTTGTACTTGTATTAAAATATACAAAACATTTCCTTGGATTAATTTACTTTCATGGTTATTATTAAATTCTCATTGGATTTTTGTTCTTTTCTAGTGTGGTTCCTCCTAAACCAGCAACATTTGAAGAAATTTGCCATTTTCACTCAACAGATTACATAGAATGCTTACAAAGATTGTGCCAAGATGATGATCCAGACAAGTATGATGAGGAAGCTGAAGAATTTGGCCTGGGTAAATTCCACTGATTTTGATCTAGGACCCAAAATATCTTCTATCCTAGTTTTGATCAAGCCTTTGATTATGTTAAAACATCATATCATCTTTTGAGAAATTAAGAGGTTGCAATAATACATATGGGACCATACATTCCAGGCTGTTTAACTATTTCTTTTTCTAAATTTTATCGGTCAGCTTGCTTTTACAGACAGTGGCTGATAGAGAGGACTGAAAAAAACTTTTTAAACAGGCGTAGCCTTGATAGGCAGTTTGAAAATAAATTTCACAAGTTTCCAAACTTAAGTTTTAGAAAAAATAAAAATATTTAAATTCTTAACTGAAAGTTTTTTTTTGCATCTTTATGTAGGTTATGACTGTCCCGCAGATGAAGGTGTATATGACAGTGCCTCTTGGGCAGCAGGGGGGACACTTACAGCAGCTGAACATCTGGTCAGTGGTCAGTGCTCAGTGGCCATCAATTGGGCAGGAGGCTGGCATCATGCCAAAAGGTGGGTCTGGCAGAAAAAAAGAATCAGGTCATATTACATGTAAAGAGATTCATGACATCTCTTCAACTTTTACCTTTGAATAATATTTGGGAAAAGTTGATGCCTCTGAAATTCATGTATTTTTTTCTCTGAGAACTTTAGAATTTCTTCAAAATAAAAGAAAGCCATACCAGTTGTATACAGTGACTTACCATATTTTTTCAGTATTTGACATTTTGTTTTAGCCCCAAAAAAGATGTATTGTCAAAAATGCACAGGAAGATTTTTTAGGCCTGGGGTTGGGGCGGGGCAGCTTGAAAGAACAGCTCTTTTGATCGAAAGGTCCTTCCTGAATCACGATTTCATCTATTAGTAGGTTCTATGCCATCATCCACATTATTCAGAAAAAGAACTCTCCAATTTAAACCTGCTGTTTGTATGCCATTTCCAGTTGTAATTTTTTTAATGGAAATGTGCTGAATAGAATTGTGATATTGCAATTCAAGATGTGTCCTTTTTTTTTTCAGAGATTCAGCTGCTGGTTTCTGCTATATCAATGACATTGTGCTAGGAATATTAAAGCTACGGACCAAATATGACAGGGTTTTGTATGTGGACATTGATCTTCATCATGGGGATGGTAAGATGGCTAGCACTTATACTTATATTATACAATTTTCATTTTTTCACAAGTTAATTCAATTTTTTTTTAAGTAAAGGTGAAATACCTATCATCGTCGGAGTATCTAACTTGACAACATTATCCATGATGTGATAGGGCGCTATGTGCATAACTGTGTTTTAACGACAAATTTATGAGATCAATTGTGTAGCTTAATCAAGGTTTTGATTTCTGTTGAATAATGATTTTACCTTTCAGGAGTGGAAGATGCTTTCTGTGCTACATCCAAGGTTATGACAGTATCCTTCCATAAATATTCACCTGGGTTTTTCCCAGGTGTGTATGTCTCCTTAAGTACTAGATTAGTATAGATATTTTAAAAAATGGTCGAGTTTTGTTGTTATAATTGAGTTCTCCTCAATATTTTTAGCTTTATATTGCCAAATATTAATGCTCAGGATATTCAATTCATTTTTTTCTTCTGATATTATTATTATTATTATTATTATTATTATTATTATAATTTTTTGTATCATACATTCAGGCACTGGCAACCTCTCTGACACAGGTATAGGAAAAGGAGCTGGTTACACTGTAAATGTGCCCCTCAATGAAGGATGCCAGGATGAAAATTTTTATCGAGTGTTTGAAAAGTAGGTTTTATGTGCTCTTCTCAAGCCCACAAACTGTATTTTTATTTCAAGTTACATTTTTTGAATGCAAATGTATTTTTATTGTTTATATCTGTTACCATATATATTATCTGTACCAATTTGGCATAATTGTTGATAAAGCTGAAGGGATATATCTTTCTCGATACTAACATATTTTGGTCAACATTTCAGGGTCATGGATATTGTTAAGATCAAATTTGATCCAGAAGCAGTTGTATGTCAGTGTGGTGCAGATGGTCTGGCAGGGGACCCCATGGACTCTTTCAACCTGACCACCCTGTCATTGGCAAAGTGCGTGCAGTATTTACTCAATTGGAGTGTTCCATTGTTACTCCTGGGGGGTGGTGGGTATCATATTCCCAACACAGCCAGATGCTGGACACACATCACTAGTGTAGTGACTGGAACTAAACTGAGCAGTGATATTCCAGAACACAGGGTAGGTAGTGACTAGTTTTTTAATGGATGGGCATCACATACTCCCTTTTTAAATTGTATTTGCTAGCCTCACTATATATTTATAACTCCAGACTTTACGAAAGGCGTCGGACCGTCGGACATGCCTGGCAAATTTCGTCTCGGTCCGATAAAAAACCCTGTATCGTCGGACCTTATGTCCGGCGAGTTTTCAAACTGACTGGGAATGTGTAAATACAAGGAATACGTTGTTGTTTCTTTTCTGGACGATATATTTTACTTCATTCGAAAAGAGAGACGGGGTGAAAATCTCGGGGAGTTCCCAGCTAATTAATACATAATTTATAAACCTCAGTTTCACTCAGAAATACTATTTTGTGACTGGTTGAGGTTGGTGGGATTCCTGGATGATGTAATGTACAGTCTCGTTTTCGTTTCGTAATACCCCTACTCGACAAAATGGCCGCAACACGTGCTCGTGCTATTTGCGTTTGGTCCTCTGTTTCTTCTTTATCAGTCGTACACAGTACTCATGGATAAACCTTTTGTTTAGAAAATGACGTTGTTGAACTTTAAACACTTCGTTGGTGCAAAGCGTGGCTAAAATTAAAACGAAGTGAGGAAGAGAAACGGAAGTTAACTAAAATTGGAAAGAAGGTAGGCCCTGGCGGACTTGTAATCTGTAGGAGAGGAAAATAGTGTGTGCCGAGTTATCATTTTGATCAATAGCAACATAAATGTTACAGCTTTATTACGGGTTCTTAAATTATGGAACGTATTTGCATGTACCGTTCACCACGAGTTGGAGAAAGTGCACATGAACTTGACGAAAGCTCACAGTTTTATTTCTTTTTATAAAAAAAAAAGAAATAAAATGAAGAAGGAACTTAGACTCGGGCTGGACAGTCCCTGTCAAAGCTTCAATTGGATGAAAGAGACTGCCTTACTGTGCTGTTTCAAAATGCATATGTTATTGCCAAAAACAACGGATGAAATGGTTATCTGATTAACAGACGTTTTTATGGACAAACGTTTGATATTACTAGCTACACGTTCTTCATACTTGTATTGGTCTTAGTCCTTGTGTCATTCCACAATGTCTTTTTCATTAAATAAAAAACAACTTGTTATGCAAGTAATTTTTTGTCTATTTTTTTTGTTTGTTTGTTTTTCTTTCTTATTTTACTTTTTTACAAATATATATCAAAAATTTAATATTTGATTTAATGTCAGTGATTTAAAACATTAGAAAATACACATGAAAACATGAATAATGGTTCGTATTTCTATTATTTTACTTCGGTCTGACAGATTTTGTTTCGGTCTGACAGAATTTTCAAGCTTGTCAGACCGAATGTCTGACAGATTTTTTGGCCTTTCGTAAAGTCTGTAACTCCGATGAAAAACATCACTTTTTGGTATTTTTACAAATTAATAGGAGTATGCAAGGTAAGGACAGATTAAAAGAAGAGTAAACAATTCCGATTAGAAAACACAAAATCACATAAAAACTTATCCAGAGTCATACCTATACTTCAAATCAGTTTTTATTTCTCCAGTATTTTACACTATATGGTCCAGACTATGATCTGATGATCTCTCCTGGAAATAGAGCCGATACCAATACTCCGTCTCATATTAAGAATGTCATTGCACAGATATCAGGTAAGAGAGGTTGACAATATCTTTGACAATATCTTTGACAAGACAATATCTTTGTTAACTAGATACAAAATTTGATTGCCATAACTTTGTTTATAATTATTGCTGTTAAAATGTCCTTAGAGTGATGAATTGTACTTACTGGCTAGTGTGTGTGTACCTGCATATGTGTGTGTGTGTGTGTGTGTGTGTGTGTGTGTGTGTGTGTGTGTGTGTGCTTTTACTGTCAATTAAAAAACTTTATTTGCAAAGCATATTGATTGCCTATGACATTCTTTAATTTCATCATTTTATGGACAGGCCAATTGGAAAGAGTTGTGGTCTTTTTAAGATTAATATTTCCTTTTTTCTAGTTATTTTGCTCATGTATTCCTTGGGTTTATTTCAGAAAATCTCGAGAACCTCCAGTGACGGAAACAATATACAGATGAATGTAGTTGCCAAATAAATTTATCAGTGACGTGGCTATTTTACAAACAAATGAAATAATATCATTAATATTTTATAAGTATACAATGAGGTCAGTTCTTTCATTAGGCATAAGAAAGTGTGAAAATGTATCATTATAAGCTGCCCAGTGTCTGATTCCCTGTGCCTCTCCATTTAAATTGTCAAAAAACAAAAGGTTTTAAGGGCTGAAATTGAAGGCTCTTTTATGCAGGTTTTATTATTAATGTTTTTAACATGTGAGTTTTCTTAAAGTTTTTAACCATTTTTAATTCCATTTTGGGATTTATATTTTTTAATATAATTAAAATACAAGTTAACTTTCATGTTCATTGTTTTAATGTCATATGTAATAAACATTTCAATATTTTTAATTTTTGTATTATGAAGATGGGTAAGATGGCTCAAGTTTTCTTTTTCTGTCCTTTTTATGTACAGACAGACACAGATGTGTCTGTACATATAGCCGTCACCTGCATGTGTTGTCAACATCGCCATTGCCGTCGCCATGCACTTTCACGATAACAGGCTAAGTGGAAAACTGTTTTACCTTCAGGCTTGAAACTTTCAGAACTGATGAATATGCATAAAATGGGAAGTTATGCATTTTTTCACTTTTTTCAGCATACATGTGTTGTGTTGTACGCAAATTTCCAGAGTACTGTCAATACACGTTTAACCTTTATTTTTCTGCGCTGCGTTTCTGACGTCTACATCTCGTGACGTCTACATCTGGCGATTACATTGTGACCTGATATTCTAAAACTTAGCACTTCAGCTAAAACATTAAATTCCTCCCCACCTTGAATAAAGCGGCATGCAACTTCAGTATGTAGGTCTAGTCTATAACGTTTATAAAATTGAGCACAGTTTTTTTTTTAAGTTTGTTATGAGTGTATAGCATTGGATGAAAGTTATTCGTTCAGTCTTTGGCAATAAGTAAAGAGATATACTGGTAGTTAATTAAAATATAATAATACTGCAAACACTTGAAAGAATGTCATCATATCTATCATAACTTGCTGAAGAATACTAGAGCTAGGGCGGGTGTTTCATGGAGAGGTAATCTTTCTCAGAGAGAATGTTGACACTTGCACCTGAATCTGCCATCATAGTAATGTAACTGTCATCAACTTTGACCTTAAAATATGGCGAGGAGACTTGGCTCTACATGTTTAGTTTGTAGGTGTACTCGCCATCATCCTCAATTTCAATGTTGTTTACTCATGACTTTGATAAACAAACTGCTTTGAAGTGATTCTGCTTACCGCAGCTATGGCAAGTGTGTCCACCCTGATGTGGCCACTGACCTCCACAATTACGACACTTGTTCTTGCAGTTTTTGTTACAGGTTGCTGGCTTTGGTTGATTGAAAGTGTGTTTCTTAGTTTGGTGCTTGGCAGGGTGACGTTTGGTCGTTAATTGTTGCTCAGCTTTATGAACAGTGTTGACTGTTTGGCTTTTAATCATTTGGGAATGTGCATTTGTGACTTCTAGGTTCTGTGCGTATTGTAGAAGTTGATCTAAGGTTACATCTGGATCTCTCAATCCTTTGTCACGTACCTTATCTAGTCTACATCCCATTATGACCTGAGATTTTATCTCTGCATTTGGCTGCGCATATTGACAGGTTTCCACTAGCCGCTTGAGCATATAGTAAAAATCGTCAATGTTCTTAGGTGTATTCTGTACTGTCTTTTTAAATAAGTATCGCTGGAATTCAATGTAAGCATGCGGATTAAAGTGTGCAGTGATAGCCGCAGTGAGGCATGCGTATACGTTTTGTCCCGGTAGTGCTTGTCTGTCTTCAGTTTCTGGCATAGCCTCTATAGGTTCAAGTAGGGTTTGGTCAAAGCTGTCCACGATGTCATTCAGATCATTCCAACCCACCATACATTAAAAGTAGGCCCTTCTTCTGCACAGGGTTAACTATGCCACACCCGTTGAATACATTGGATTCCAATCTCCGTAACCATATCGCCCATCTAATATACTTTCCCTCTGAGCGGCAATCAAATGGTTCGTATGGCAGAGGTTGTAACTGGATTGCTGCCATGTTGTTTACATCTGTTCACAATAGTTCTTTTATCCTCATCGCCAGTTGTTGTGTTGTAATGTTAGGTTTTTGAAAAGAAAACAACGCATAATTCCAGAGTACTATCGTTGCATGTTTTGCCTTTATTTTTCTGCTCTGCGTTTCTGACGTCTACATCTCGTACATTTCCTACATTTCCTGAATATGTCGCAACCTGATAACATAGTGCTAAAACATTACATTATGCAACACCAATAACACAATAAATCTACTAAAATTTGTATCCAATCGAAATTCCCCCCTTCCCATGAAGGCTCTCTCCATGTCCAAATGTTTTCCCTTGACAATTTCGTAAAGAGAATGTACCAGTGTTAGAGTATCTTGGGGTTGCCAATTTACCTTCATCTTCATTATGTGGGTAACTGATTCACAGTTATTATTTGTCATCAACTGATTCACAGTTATTATATGTTAATGCAATAGGTAGATCTTGGTGTCTTTCTCTCCTTTGGAAGTTTTCCTGTAACAGTGGAAGGATACTGTCTAAATGATGTTTTTTTTTCAAATTGGGGTACATTTTCAATATTTCTTAATACTGTTTAGCTCCTTTCCTAAAAAACTATTTGATTGTCTGAATATATTAATCCATTTTGGCCAAATATAGCTGAAGCTTTTTTGTCTCTTTTTCATTAGCCCCAGTTTTATCTTTCAAAAAATTTATAGCATTGTTTTTGATGTGCCGATGACAAGAAATATGATCTGTATTACTTCCAAAACCAAAGTTTGCAACTTTCTTGATGGCTTTTTCTTCATCACTTATGATGACTAAATTTGGATTTTTATAGGCATCTCCATAGCAATAGAAGTGAAAAAGTTCCCAAATGTCTTCCAATCAGATTGTCCGTGAATGAGAATGGGGCCTAAAAATATGGGATGATCTTGGGTTTTGATTCTTACCAGGTTGAACGTTTTATTGACACCTAAAACCATAGTGATGTAGTTGGGTGCAGCGCAGCAGAATTGTGTTCTGTTTGAGATCTGTTCATCGTTGTACAACATTACACAAGGGTACTTGCTCTGTATCTGGTTGATGCTGCAAATGAATGGGTTTTCATGGAGCGGGTTTCAAATTAGTGGGTCTTTGGTTTTTGTATAGTACTGACCAAGATTGATTGTCAAGTATATCTGCAGAATGAAATAGAATGACACAGACACTTGTTTTACTGTAACCCATCTTTACTGAACAACCGGAAACCCCACCTGACATGCACACTACACAGTTTTCTGAATCCACTTCACTGACCAACCTTTTGTATAGTTCATGAGATTTGGAGTCATGTTCAGCAGTTATAAAGTCCATAACAAAGTCTTAAGCACGGCAATATGGGTTAACTTAGAGTTCAGCATTGCCATGGAATATATTGGGGCCTGGATATGTCCCAATATATTCCTCAAGGGCAATGGATGGGTGCATATTTTCAATCCAAGTTACCTGCTTCTTTTGTGTGCAGGATTGCGTTTGGAACAGGTATAATATCTGTGTAGGTTGTGGTTTCAGGGGAACTGTGTGCCTTTTCTTATTAACTTGTCTGTACACGCAAAACAGTCCATCTTTTTTTTACAACAGATATCTACTTAGATTCTAGCTTAGCTTTGTAAGTTATGGGTGAGTGGGTCCCACCCCAAGACCCACAGTCATCGATGAAATGGCTTCCAAGGTTAGCGGCATGATGCTCTAAATTTCATAATTTCTTTTGTGTCCCTTCATGAAGAAGACCAGAAACAAATCTGTCACACAACACCTGATTAAAAAATTCTCCGTACTCACAATGTGTTGACAATCGTCTCAGTTTTGACACATGTTCACTGACCTTTTCCCCTTCAATTTGGTTTCTTTTCATGAACTTGAACCGCTCAGCAATTACCAAAGGCTGCGGAGCGTAATAATTCTGTAAATAGCCCTTTAGTTGGTTATAAATCAGCATGTTGGGTAACTCCGGCGAAGTTAAACTTTTTAGCTTTGCATACGCTGTACTTCTGATAACCGTTAGTAACACTGCAGCTTTCTATGTCACTGTCTAAAAAATATTGCTCTAACTTCTTTATGTAACACTCAATGTTTTCTTTGCTATCGTCAAATTCGGCCAATCCTCACCATCCTCGTCGCCAGAATGTAATATCTTCACAACTAACTGTATTCCTGAACAATGTGCTTCTATCTTATATGCTCACTAGGGGGTGCACACCCTGTCAAGCCCAACACATATCTACTATAGCTACATGTCTGTACATTTGGCAGCTTTGCTGCCTTGTTTTTCCTTGTCCCTGCACTTTTACTTGCCCAAGCAGATCTGGCTACACTGAATCTACTAAAATTTGTATCCGATCGAAATTCCCCCCTTCCCATGAAGGCTCTCTCCATGTCCAAATATTGTCCCTTGACAATTTCGTAAAGAGAATGTACCAGTGTTAGAGTATCTTTAGGTTGCCAATTTACCTTCATCTTCATCATGTGGGTAACTGATTCACAGCTATTATTTGTCCATGCAATAGGTAGATGTTGGTGTCTTTCTCTATTTAGGAAGTTTTCCTGAAACTGTTGAAGGATACTGTCTTAATAATGTTTTTCAAATTGGGGTACATTTTCAATATTTCTTAATACTGTTTGTCTCCTTTCCTCAAAAACTACCTGATTGACTGAATATATTAATCCATTTTGGCCAAATATAGCTGGAACTATTTTGTTCCTTTCTTTTTCATTAGTCTCAGTTGTATCTTTCAAAAAATTTATAGCATTCCCAGACAGCCTCAGTGATCTGGCCCACATCTGGCCCA